AACATTGATAAAATGATCCATAATACCAAAGTATTCTGACCAAAATCCTGTTGAGCGAGAATGTTTGGTTGAACTACATAATCTCTATATATAAAAATGAATTGCTGTTCGTTAGTCTCGCTAAAACTCGAGAACGGCTGAACCGATTTGGCTAATTTTGGTCTTGAATTATTTGTGGAAGTTCAGAGAAGGTTTAAAAGGTAGATAAATATGAAAATGCTCGGAATTAAATAAAAATAACAATTTGGTGTTTCCTTTGATGTGTCCCCCGTCGGTCTTTTATTTATCGATTGAGGCACTACGAAGTCTGCCGGGTCAGCTAGTATTAATAAATATCTATTCAAACTGAAGCTGAAATGTTACGTCATAATGCATTTATTGTTGGCACCAACGCAGTAATCTACACTGACTAAATTGCTAACAACAGCTGTCAAAAGATTCAACAACAACGAATAAATTACAGGCGGATGCCATAGTACACGAACAAACAAAGTCACAGATATTGATTTCTATTATAAATATTAGAAAAGCGGAATTAAAAAGCGGTTGGTCGCCATTATACTCTATTCCAATTACGAAGTCCCATGAGACAGATGTTATTGTGTGTGTGTGTGTGAATTAATTGTATAATGATTTAGATTGATCGTGTATTTTTTAAATGGTGTTTACGATCATGAACAAAAAATTATTATTATTTCAAATAATACGAAACGTGAAGAGTTACGCTCTAAGAAGTGTCACAAGGGACTTCGTAATTGGAATAGAGTATAGGCTGTGTCCGGCATTGCTGACATCCATTAGCGATGGTAACTACCCACCACTAGGTGGGCTATAAGGACGTCTGCCTACAAAGGCCATAAAAAATGTGTGTTATTTTTTTATGACATGCCACCTCGTCAGCTATTCAGCAGCTTCCAGGAGCGCATATATACATGAGACTAGCCGCTGCCACAGTGAAGTATGATAAAATAGTTTTACGATCCGACCATTCACGTTGAGGGAGGACACTGGACCGCTACGGTGTTCGTATTCATATCATATATATATTTAGTATTACTCGTGGAAACCAAAGAGTATATTGTAGGTTTTGTTAAATTTAATTTTATTGATTTTACTCTTGATCTCTAGTAAAGGTCACGTTATGATAAGCAATTGTTTGGAGCCCATACACATCGCATTATGAATTCCGTCAGACAAAATTTTTTTTTTTATTTTTTTTTTATTGCTTAGATGTGTGGGCGAGCTCACAGCCCACCTGGTGTTAAGTAGTTACTAGAGCCCATAGACATCTACAACATAAATGCGCCACCCACCTTGAGATATAAGTTCTAAGGTCTCAGTACAGTTACAACGGCTACCCCACTCTTCAAACCGAAACGCATTACTGCTTCACGGCAGAAATAGGCAGGCTAACCTAACCTACCCGTGCGGATTCACAAGAGGTCCTACCACCAGTAATGGTTTTCTATCTGTTACGAATGACTACCTCTCATTTATCACGCTATATTTATACCACAGAAAGTATATTATCATAATAAATATATTATAGATATCTGTTTTTCGTACCGTCGTTTAGAGGAATACTAAACGCTCCGGACATAAATTTAAAACTGTCATTTCATTATCTGAAGCAGATTCTGGGTAATACAGGATTTATGTTAACACATCAAACCTGGCCTTTTGTGCGAGCGAGCACGACCATGGATCTAACATGATATAATAAAATTTCGAGCTTAAAACATTATGTTTGTGTATTTTTTACACGCTATTATTAGTTTGATCTGTATCTATGTAATCTAAATCTTGCACTGTGATATTCACCAACATCAAAACGTACGATTGTCATGAGTATTATATTAAAAAAAAAAAAAACGAAAAAAATAAATTAAAATTAATATCAAAAAATTAAAAAATTAAGTAACGATGAGAATATAATCATTTTGATACTTTAACCAATCATTGACAAACATCAACAAGGTAAAAAGTTTATTTTTTTAATTCGGCGTATCATGTAGTTTTTAAGCTGTATTCATTTTATTTTCATGAACCTAAAATGAAGACTGAAAACTGAGGTATTAGACGTTTTTGGAATTAGTCTTAAGATATTATGTGTTAAAGCAATATATTTTGTACATATCAATTGACGTGAATTTATCGTGATAATTCAACTTTGTGATACCATTTTTTATTGTACTAGATAAAAAAAAACATTGATTCGTCTCGACCTCTGAGACATTAAATAAATGCTCTTAACAAATGATACATTAAGGATTTTATTTCGTAATTATGTAAATACTTGCCCTGTGAACAGAACGAAAATCATGGATGGTCTGGAGCGTGTCCATCCTTTAATCCAATCACGTAATCTGTCTACGAGCGAAAATCCTAACACTGTAGTAGTTACTGATTTATTCCAAGCCCTGTTTTATTATAACAAATTAACCTATCGGACATTTGAGTGTGGCTATTTAGTATTGTTACGCCGGTAAGAGCAACGCCATTTATCGTCGAATAGCAGAAATGAATATCAAAAGAACTCGTAAAATCGAGAACGCTCGAAAATTACAACGCCATCTATTGTCAAATGGCGGAAACGCATATAGAAAATACTCGACTTGCCAGGAATGTTCCTGATAATTCTATGGCTGTCGTATCGACTATAAAAGCGTTGCAGGGACGTCACCAAGGTTAGTAAGCGGTTCTACTCGAAGCGAAACAGCAAGCGGATCACCTGAAGCGAAGCGGAAGAAGTGAATTGAGAATTTTTAAGTGTTCTTTAAGTGTTCTGAGTATTAAATAGAGCTTTAATTTGTACTCCGGTAGAATTTTTATTTATCACGAACCCCAGCGCGTAACAGTATGTTAAACGTGTACTATTGACGTGGTTGCAACTGATAATATTAGGTCCATGTCTTTAACATTAGCATTATAAGGGTGCCTGGACGCGTCCGGATATAGCCCTGTGATCCTGCGACTACCAAGCAGATAGGATAGAGACAGTTACCCGTCATGTTCTAGTTTTTATTATACAGGGTGTCCCCAAATAGTGTCAAGTCGAAGTACAGAGGTAGAGCATCACTAGGGCTATCTAAATCACCCCCATGTATGTTGTGCGATTTTTTATAGTTTTCGAGTTATGATTTAATTAATAAATTTATTTATTACTGTGCTAAGGTACTTTTTTGGCTAGAGTGGCGCGAATAGTTAACGTACATGCCTGTTTTTTTTTCTTTTTGTACATACTTCTATACATCTAAATATATACACATATAGATAGTAAGCAGCGGCTTGGCTCTGCCCCTGGCATTGCTGAAGTCCATGGGCGACGGTAACCACTCACCATCAGGTGGGCCGTATGCTCGTCTGCCTACAAGGGCAATAAAAAAAAAAAAGATAATAAGCACCCAGACGAAGAGCAAACGAACTTGTTCATCCTAAGAATGTTTGCCTAATGTGGGAATCGAACCCACGACCCTTGGCGCAACAATCAGGGTCACTAACTACTCTACCACTGAGTCAGCCAAGGAAATAATTTGACAACAAAAGTAAACGCGTAAACTCTAGATGTTATTGGAATTATAAATCTGTTATCAAAAGACAGGACCCATTAACTTATTGCAATCTGCTAACTCGCTAGAACTGCAACTAGTAATGCCAGAAAATCAACATCTAAAACTTATGCGAGGAATAAAACCTAAGCACAGCAAAATACACCTTAACTACCAAATTTTAGGACATGCAATCGATTTACGTACAACATTTGGATGTTATTCACGTACCTTAGAGCGGTGTGACGGGACGGCCACGCTCGAGGGAGTGACACCGAATGTTGGTCAACACTCGCCGACAAGGGCTTAATGATGGAACAAACGTTTGACGACATTAGCGCTTCGGACGCATAAGTCACGAAAGAAATTTGTCGCTCCTTTTAGAATATTTAACACGTTGACTGCCACGTAGGTCACCGATGCCCTACGCGGCGCACTGATTAGCTATGTCGATTTCTATGACAATGAATCTGTTTCTAAGAGACCTAAAAGACTAAAACATACATTATTAACAAAAGAAGGCAAAGTTTGGCAATCCAGAGGCTTTAATAACAGAAATCGAGATAATTACTTCAGTGCGCCGCGTAGGACCCCCGTAAACCTACATGGCAGTGAATGTGTTAAGGTATAAATTTAAACGCAAAGAAAAACAAATATATTTTACTTTAGTTGAATCCTGTCTTAGATATGGTATAATTTTCTGGGGAAACTCAACGCAGAAAGATCAAGTTTTTAAGGCACAAAAAGGGGTGTTTAAGATCTAATTTTTGGATTGGCAATAGCCGACAGCTGCAAGCCATATTCTGCAAAACATAAACTTTTTACCCTTCCTTGTCTATATATATACGAAGTTGCATCTTTTGTTAAAGCTTGTCCCAATAGATTCACCAAGATGTCTAATGTGGCAAATAGAAATCGACGCGACGATAAGCTATGTTTTCCAAAATCCAAAACAACATTAAAGAATAATAGTATACTAGGTATGAGCGTTAGGATATTTAATAAACTACCAAATAAATTAAGCGACTTAGACGATTTTCATTTTAAGAAAAAGCTAAAAAATAATCTTATTAGTGGAAATGATTATCACATAAATGATTTTCTTAGGGACGACATTGAAAATAAATGGATTTTTTTTAAGTTATTAGTTTTGTGGGTGTTTTCAAATTAAACTAAATGTTATTTTGCGCGTTCACGAATTATAAAGCTTTCGTATTTGAATAAATTCAACAGACAACAAAGTCTACAATGTGTGCGAATATAAACCGATAAAGTGTTTCAAAAGGTCACCGTATGTAACAGCAATTCAGGAAGACGCATCATAAAATGTAATACAATTCGAAATATAAAAGCGTTGCCCTTTAGACGCTCGACGTTGTGATCCAACGTTTGTTCCAGTTTTCCTATGTTGGCCGTTTGGCTTGAAGGCGGGTGGATTCCGGACACTCCCTAAAATTTCCTCCCCGCAGTCACAGTGTCGCGGTTCGCTCGAGGCGGGAGTCGCGTCGCGCTGCCCGCTAAAAACTTTCCACCTTACGTACGCTTAAAAACTTTCGACTGTGAATGACTCGTGTTTATATAGAACCTGTTTTGATAATGAAAGGTAATCTTTATTGGGTTTTAATTACGTTCTATCGGAATTTCGTATAACTTAGCCCCGTTTAAGACATTAACTGCATATTTTTTTACAATAAAACGTGTCGGTATCTATTGTATTGTTAATACAATTGTTATGATAAGGTACAATTTTTAATGCTGGTTTTATATTATAATTGCAGTAATTTTCCAATACTTACTTACATACTTATGGGTATTTTCGTATCACAGAAGTGTGAAGGTTTCTTTCTATGATTTAACATCAAGCCCGACATATTAAAATTTAACGAAACATGTGACTATTCAATAAGTCGCATAATCTAAAATTTTAACCAATAATTTTGATGCGAAACAGTCGAAAATAAACTACATACCTCACATAATTGTGCAATATTTTTTGGAAAGGCATTGTTAAAGATTCGATAAAAAAAAATTGTATAAAAATCGAAATCTCAATATTGTCTAAGCAAGTTTCCCAATTATCATTGTAAATTATGACGTATTCTCAGATTATGCAAGCCTAAATTATGTCAGACTAGCCGTACTACTCGCCCACTTCGCTGGCCATTTAAAACCAACATTATTATTTATTGTCATTATTATTAGGGAGTCCAACACTCATATAAATATTAGCCTATCTATTAAGTACATGTATTTTCTACATGAACACCAAGTTTCAAGTCAATCGGATGCACGGTTCAGTAGTTATAACGGAACATTCGTAAAAACCACTGTAGATTTATATATTAGTATAGATTCAAGTTAGGCGAAGCACATTAAAAATTACCCCCCACGCCGCCTAGCCTGTCTAAATGTCAAGTGCGCGGCAGCACCGAAAATGTCCGAACCACATACATATTTTACAACTTTGTATTATTGCAACATTTACAAGAAAAGACATACACATATTACATATTTTAAGTTCAAAAATGTATGTTGGATAATACGAGTATAATCAATCTGTGTTTTAACGAGCGTGGTTTTAAAAAAATCGTGTAGTTTATGTATTTTTTTTAAACACTGTTAAGTTTACTGGTGGTAGGACGCTTTGTGAGTTCGCAGGGGTAGGTACCACCATCTTGTCTATTTTTTCCGTGAACCAGTAAAGCGTTTCGGTTTGAAAGGCGGGACAGCCCTTGTACTGTAATACTGAACACTCATATTTCAAAGTGGGTGGCGACATTTACGTTGTAGACGTTTATGGGCTCCGGTAACCACTTAACAACAGGCAGGTCGGAAGCTCGTCCACCTAATTAGAAAATTTTAACCGCCAAAAGATCAACAATAAAAGATATTGTAGTCGGCATTAAAATAATAACGTTTTTTCAAAGCTGTTATTAATTCATATTAATAATAAAACGGTAATATGCATATTAACAGTCAGCCGTGAGAACGGTAACACATTACATTCCACGTACGGCGTAATGCATAATAATAATTTAAGCCTTATTATATTATTCTTAGTAACACATAAATAGGTATTTTATATTTCTGAGACTCGCAGTCAACATAATAAGGATTACTACAAAATTGAGTACTTTAATTTTTATTGGGTAATTTAAAAGTTGATTGAGCAACAAGCAGGCTAGCAAAATAATTTTATTTTTCCCGGTGTCATATTTAAATTCAAATACTTCTGTTTCTAGCGCTCCTCCCTCTTTTTTACTGGTGGTAGGACCTCTTGTGTAGGTACCACCACTCTGCCTATTTCTGTACATTACCATCAGTTTCGTTATTTTAAAAACCTTCGTCTTCGATCTTGATGATTAACAACCTTTGATACTAAACTAACGAACAAAATAATAAACTACCGGGAACCAATCAAACATGTCAACTGGCCCTATACTAGGGACTCCCTTTACGATGGGAGCCCGGGACTTTTGTAATTTAAATATATATTAAACATTTACAAAAGGGCCAAACACTCAAAACACAATGGGAAGAAAATCTGTCACACGAATGTTTGCCCGTAGTGCGAATCAAATCCACGACCCTCGGCTCAAAAGTCAGAGGCGTTGACTGATGCGCCACCGGAGTGTTTAAAACAAACATATCGCATATTAGTCGTCGTCGCGGCCTAAAGGATAAGACGTCCGGTGCATTCGTGTTGAGCGATGCACCGATGTTAGAATCCCGCAGGCGGGTACCAATTTTTCTAATGAAATACGTACTTAACAATTGTTCACGATTGACTTCCACGGTGAAGGAATAACATCGTGTAATAAAAATCAAACCCGCAAAATTATAATTTGCGTAATTACTGGTGGTAGGACCTCTTGTGAGACCGCACGGGTACCACCGCCCCGCCTATTCCTGCCGTGAAGCAGTAATGCTTTTCGGTTTGAAGGGTGAGGCAGCCGTTGTAACTATTCTTGAGACCTTAGAACTTATATCTGAAGGTGGGTGGCGCATCTACGTTGTAGATGTCTATGGGCTCCAGTAATCACTGTGAGCTCGTCCACCCATCTAAGCGATAAAAAAAAAATTATGCAAATTATGTAATTTTTCAGGAGAAACATTGGAAAATGAAATGAAATCATATTATATAATTCTTATATAGTTCTGCTAGGCTACAAAAGTAAAATGATAATATTTAAACTAAATAAGTAAAAGCAAACATCTCTCTCGTCTCACCAATAATTATAAAAGAATGTATTTTCCCACAGTTCAGTGTTAACAAAAATTGCATAAGTGACTTCATAGTACCGTATATGCGATATATAGGTAGGTACATATTATTTTGTTACTTTTGTCGATGATGAAACTCATCGATCCCGCGAAGGGGTAACCAACAAGCCAGTGAAGCCATTTAATTAAAGCTATTGTTTTTCCTTGGAACGTGAAAACGTTACTAATTATATTCATTAGTATTAGCTAGTACGTGGCGTGTTTATTAGCAGCTTTCTGAAATAGCTATTCAAATTCACTTTGAATATCGTAATGACTTTTAAAATTACATTAGGTATTCTGTGTTGCCTTAAATGATCTTAGCTTATGACGTAGTTATTGTTAAAGCTACTTTTACGTTTCAATTTCGCGTTTAATATTTTAATTATATTATTTCAGATGTTTAAAATATGTAAAACGCAGTCATTAAGTTTCTCCTTTTTGATAGTATTTTCTCCGTTTGTTTCAGATGCATCACGCATTCGCGCATTTAAAAGAGACTGCAAACTGATAAAATCAACACAAATTCAATGACCGCTGGTTGAAAAATAAAGAATACAGAGTAGCATAAAAAAATTTTTGAGATAAAATTCAGCAAACGGTTGACTGACTGACAATCACAGAAAAGTGAGGATTCTGCAGCGGCAGTCGCGTAGGCGGCGCCGCGTGGTGCTGTTGTGGCTCGCTGGCGCCACTTGTGGCTTTTGGCGGGCCTGGGTGCTGCGGGAGCTCAGAAGAGCCCCCTAGGCTGGGCCATGGGAAGCTCACAGAGACTGGCCGCCGTAGCAGCCGTCTCACATGCGAAGCACTACTATAACCATACACAAATACATTCACAGCAAGCGGAATCTTCACAATTCACTCTTAATGTATTTTTTGTAAGGTTTGTATTCAAAAAATTAATAATAGTTTAAAAAAACGAACAAAATACGCTTTTATAGAAAATCCAACTAAAAAATACAAAATAAAATTTAATAAATTTGAATTAAAAATAGTGTAAGAAAAAATGATTTTATTGTAAAAAAGCGTTTCAATTTATTCAAAAAAATTTTTAGATTTTTTTTAAATATTGAATTGTCATCGGTCCTTAATAAGTACTAAATTTCGAATTAATCCACGTTTTGAAGGGGGTCAAAATCATGTTCAAAGATTACGTTAAAAACATACATAGGTCTGAAGCTAATAAAAGCGTATTAAAAAAATATGCGTTATTTAATTACATAGCGATGCGATTTAGAACGCGCCAGTCAGAATATTACGACTTTGACCAGTACATTTTACGGTCCAGTTTTAAGGTCGTGGGTCAAACTTGGAAATGTAATTCAAAATTGTAAAAACTGTATATCATGAACTATAAAGCCACAGTAGAGAGACCTCGTAACACTTTTATGTTGATAGCACGTCTTCTCATGATTACTCCCAGGACACGTCTGGTCAGTCCGACATTTTTATTTCAATGAACAATACAAACAACCGTTGTTTGAGATTTATTAAAGGGGATTAAACGAACAGGTAAGAAAGGATGATGCAGTATTAAAGGACGCCAGGTGGGGATTGCAGCCTTTGCGAAATTCTTCTTCTGGGGGTTTAAAGGAAAGGGTTTTTCTGTTATCTTAAAACTTATTAAACATTTTCTCTTTGTATTATTTTAGTGAAAACTGTAATACAGTGACATGTCGACTATCTCTGGTGTATACAATTTTGTTTTACTCACAAAGAGATTTATTTGATACGGTACGAATTCGCCTATTTTTCGGGTCAGTTTTAAATAGTCCAGTTTTTTTTTTATTGCCCTTGTAGGCAGAAAGAGCACACGGCTCACCTGATAGTGAGTGGTTACCGTCGCCCATGGACTTAAGCAATGCCAGGGGCAAAGCTGTACCGCTGCCTACAAAATAGTCTAATCAAATACTATGATTCAACATAAATGAAATGCATAATTTTTAACTTGTAACCTACAATCACTATAACATCGTTTAAATTAATAGGTAATTTTTAAAGTATTTTGACGAAAATAATAATAATTGTAACGTACCGTATGTGAATCTTTCAAGTTTTTATAAGTACATTTATTATATTATCTCTATATATAAAAATGAATTGCTGTTCGTTAGTCTCGCTAAAACTCGAGAACGGCTGAACCGATTTGGCTAATTTTGGTCTTGAATTATTACAGAGAAGGTTTAAAAGGTAGATAAATATGAAAATGCTCGGAATTAAATAAAAATCCGTCGGACGGATTCCTTTTGTTTGTTTTATGTTTATTATATACAAAAGTTTAGGTCTTTTATATATCGATTGAGGCACTACCAAGTCTGCCAGGTCAGCTAGTTATATTATATTAGTAGATGAGTCGTATCCTTCATATAATCGAGACAAGTGACCTATTTCTCGGAGTATAATTTAATTAAATTACCCACCCTGCTGTCTGTTAGTGTAAATTGTAATACTTTGGGAATTATAACTTAAGTATGAATATCGATTTGTAACTCCCAAGCGTTCTATATTAATATGACAGGCGAAATGTTATTTGTAGGGCACGCATGCATCATAATGTGTGGTAATAATTAACGTATAACTTAATTACTGTTCAATCATAATAATACGGATAGCGGACGATGTATTGATCGACCTTTGAATTACTATAGAATGATGCATTAAATGGATACGAATTAGCTGATGAAATTATGGTTGCTTTCGATTTCATTGAAAGAACGTTCGTGTTTATAGGCGCACGTCAATTTCAATACTGAACAGAAACTAAAATTGTTTCCTTAAGCCCTACAAGTCGAATTCAAGTTTTATTATGTCTTCATCTAACAACTTACGTAAATTGAGGCCTATAAAATCAAAGGCAGCTAAATCCAAGTTTGTCAAATAATCAGGTAAACTACAAAAATCGGCTCTAAACATGTCATTACGGATCCTCCCGATTCATCGAAGTACTGCTCTTGCTAGGGCCAGTGTTAGCAACACTCCCGGAAGAGAAAAGAGAAGCTGAAATAACTTTGTTCGGATAGCTACGATATTCTTTATTTTAAAGCAGATTTATAAAGAATGAGAAAATTACTAATAATCTGAAATTTAGATGATAAAACTTCGTTTATTAGTATTTAGTACTGAGTAAAAATAAATTTTTTCTAACTGAATTTGTTAGAGATTTAGCTGCATTTGTTATAACATGAAAACACTAAAGCGTGTCCAACTAACTAAACAAGATAGCGCCATTGTTAATCCATTTTACGACATTATGGCGTCTCAATTATTGCATGTTCGAGACATTCATTACTTTGGTAGCTAAACGAAACGCAGCTCGATTCCCGAGAAATGGCAGCACGATTGCGGTATCGTCGGAACTCAGCTAACTTCGTGCTACGACAGAGCCTAGCCGGTGGAGGCGCGTAGACGCTGTAGACGCCATCACACTTACCAACCAGCCTTCTTGAAGAGCGGTGGCTCCGTCCTAAGAACTGTCATTAGTTTTCGTTTGCTAACGTCAAGAGAAGATTTCTAAGTTTTTATAAGACAACAAACGTGATTGGTGTACTCAATATTTCTCTTAGCTCGATCATCCTATTCGCCCCTACGATGTCTGACGATGGTGTTAATAATTGTAGCTTCTCCAACATGTATTACATTTTTTGACAAGGGGGATGCAAGCACGGGTATTTACAAGTACCTACGTGTAGATGATTTCCTTTACCGAAGACTTTCCTTGAAGTAACCTTGTGGTGTTGTAAATGTACTTTGTGTGGGGGGTCACGAAGTCTTGCCACTAATAATTAAACAATTTGATTATTTTTTTTTATTTTTTTTTTATTGCTTAGATGAGTGGACGAGCTCACAGCCCACCTGATGTTAAGTGGTTACTGGAGCCCATAGACATCTACAACGTAAATGCGCCACCCACCTTGAGATATAAGTTCTAAGGTCTCAATTATAGTTACAACGGCTGCCCCACCCTTCAAACCGAAACGCATTACTGCTTCACGGCAGAAATAGGCAGGGTGGTGGTACCTACCCGTGCGGACTCACAAGAGGTCCTACCACCAGTATGTGGGTTTCCTTCCCAAAGAGCGAGATACGATGTAGTACAATGACCAAAGGAGCAAACGGTACATCTCAGTCTACGGGCACGAAACTTGCGATGGCTGAGCGATGGCGGCAGCGAGGCGACGCGACACAGGGCGGGCAGGCAGCGATATCTCGCGTGGGCACGAAACAAGCTGGCGAGCAGTCGCGCTCATACAGTATTGTGAATCATGAGCTTACGTCGAAAAGAACTATTGGAGCCTAGTCCTCTGATGAGGGAATTATTACTATTACTTAGAGATGGTGTTCATCCAATAAATCAACGAAGACGCAATTGGGGAGAATTTTCTACGCTTTATTACGCGCTAAGGTGTCATTCAATGAAATTTTAAATTCTTTGTTAAATTATAAATTCTTCTATCAATTTCCATTACTAATATAATAATTCAATACAACACTGTGTACCCGAAGCGCAAGCGACGAATCCAAACTAGTTTGTTCTCGTCGCTTCCGCGTCGCCGTCGCCCCATCATCGCCCGTACATCGCTCGATCGCCCCGCTCCGCCATCGCCCGTTTCGTGCCCGTCCCCATACTGTGCAATACTTTTGTATACATCGCCGTCGCGCCGCTGCCGCCATCGCTCGGCCATCGCAAGTTTCGTGCCCGTAGACTTACAGTCAATTCCTCACAATCTGAGGAATTATTTGAGATGATTCCATCATCTCGTTTTTACTATCGCACCGCCCGCCACCAGAGTAGAGTTCATTCATACTATCTGGAACCACTGCGTTCATCCACCGTGTGTTTCCAGAGACCTTTTTTGCCACGTACCATCCGGCTTGGGAATGAGCTCCCCTACACGGTGGTTTTCCGAGCGCTATGACTTGTCCTTCTTCAAACGAGGCTTGTGGACAGTACTCAACGGTAGGCACCGGCTTGGCTCTGCCCCTGGCATTTCTGAAGTCCATGGGCGACGGTAACTACTCACCATCGGGTGGGCCGTATGCTCGTCTGCCTACCGGGGCAATAAAAAAAACGTATTACGATATTCAGCTTTTTTTTTTTCAATTACATTAAATTGTTTTATTTCTTTCGCCATCAGAAAATTAATCCGCAAACGTTGGGAGTATTTAGATAGTTCGTTTAATTAACACATCCGCTAGCAAACCACGCCGATAGGATTAAAGCGCCCTGTAATCAGTTCATGTCGGCTTTCATTTCATTTATTCGCGGCTCTTTTGATATATTCAATTCGCTGCCATTGTTATTACTAGAGGTCCCGCAGTAGTCGAAATTCGACTATAATTAATTGAAATTGTAAGTTTGTACACTATTATGATTGTATTTTATACTTCTATAATCACAAATTTCGCCAAGACTGCACTATAAAAATATTAACAAAGACAAACAATATTTAATCTATTCTCAATTTGACAACAGACGCCAAGAACAAAAGTTTGACAATAAATAGTATGCATGCGTGTGTGCGTCAAATACATGGTATGTAGTGTGTGTAATGTTTTCTTTATTGATTTAAAGTATCATTTATGTATTATTTAAAAAAAATATTAGCATTGTACACTTCTTCTCTATATTCTCTATAAGTGTGGAAAATTTCATACTCCTCCGTCCGCGCAATTTTCGTAAAAAGTGATACAAAGTTTTTGCTTCACGTATTAATATATAGATTATGGAGAGCGCAGGCCGTGCTGTAAGCCTGTGTTTATATGTCTGAATTAACTGCTTCGGTTCGTTATCCGATAATAGTTTTTTTATTTTAATGAAGTGAGCTCACTGATGGATTCGCGAAATTAATTAACGTCTGTAATACTCGCAGAATACCTATATATAGCTGTTAATAAAAATTTGTAGTACTAATAAAGTCCTAGGTTTGTATGCATGTGGGTAAGTACAATTTCGCATGTTTCTACAGGCGAAGCAGTGTTTTCCTTTGAAGGTTAGCGCAGCCTTAATACGATGCACTTAAGTTTTTAATCACATGTCTGAAAGTCCCTGGGTTCAGGTTGCGATGTCTATAGGCTACGATAGACAAATTGGTGGGATGTTCTTCGTCCCCGTGAAGGGTAATAAAACCAAACAAACAACTTGTGTAAATTCCAGTCAAAAAATCTTTTGATTCTTAGCGGATTTCGAAATAACAAGCCTTCCATACACTGAAATACATGCAAAATTGTTATAATTGCTGGAGCTCAATGTATAACGAAAGCTAAGCGATTAGTGAGATCTTTATCAGTCGTTTATTAAAAAATAAATAATAAAACCTAAGGCTGCCACATTCATGTACTACGTTTACAATAAAAAATTAAATTTATCGTTTGAATTTTTTTTTAATGCTTCAGCGGGTGGACGAGATCACAGCCCACCGGATGTTAAGTGATTACCGGAGCCCATAGACATCTACAAAGTTAATGCCGCCACCTACCTTGAAGTCATCGTGACCTAAAGGATAAGACGTCCGGTGCATTCGTATCTAGCGATGCAGCGGTTTTCGAATCCAGCAGGCAGGTACCAATTTTTCTAATGAAATACGTACTTAACAAATGTTCACAATTGACTTCCACTGATGGTAGGACTGAGTCGGCACGGGTAGGTACTACCATCCTGTCTATTTCGGCCATGAAGCAGTAATGCGTTTTGGTTTGAAGAGTGGGGCAGCCGTTGTACTGTAGAAACTGAGACCTTAGAAGTGATAACTTTTTTTTAATTGCTCAGATGGGTGGACGTGCTCACAGTCCACCTGGTGTTAAGTACGTATTTCATCAGAAAAATTGGCACCTACTTGCTTGCAGGATTCGAACACCGTTGCATCGCTACACACGAATGCACCGAACGTCTTATCCTTTAGGCCAAGATGACTCAATATTCGAAATGAGTTCGCAGTGTTAAACTCTTTTCTCTTTCCAGTGCAACACTATGCGGGGTGCTGGTGGCTGTGTGTGCGGCCTGCTGGAAACGATCGCCGTCTTCAGACAAACCCGAAGACGTGGTCGAGTGTCACGGGATATATACAGTCAGTGGCGATACTAGGCTGAGTCAGGTTAGTGACGATTTTGAAAAATTCTTAATTTATTTACGTGTGGTATTTTTACGAAGCTCGTAACAAAATTACTATACTGAGTATTTAGAACTCATATCTACAGGTGGGTGGCTGCATTTACGTTGTAGATGTCTATGGGCTCCGGTAACCTCTTAATATGAGGTGGGCCGTCCAAACAATAAAAAAAAATTGAACCGTAATTAATAATTGTCCACTTTTCATTCCGTTACAGTATTTTCAAAGCTTAGTGTTAAAAATTGTGGCACTAATTATCTAATACATTGTTGGTGACTGGGTTCGGAAATGTGCAAAACGGAAAAACAAAAACAAAAAAAGAGATTATTAGTTAATATTAATTACTTTTGCTATATTGTTAGTACGTACAAATATAATTATATAAGCGGTGTAACGATAAAATTACTTTATATTTATGTGCCTCATTGGTTCCTATTGTCACGCCAAATTATGAATAACAATAATATGCGAATTGAAAATTTTATTTTAGCTATAAACAATATTATCGTTGTTAATGCAACGTATTTGTTCACGTGACTAAATCAAAACGACGAATCGGTTAGAGCTACTTGGTTCTAATTTAAGTGTAATTAGTCGGTCTAAGACCTCGAGCATTTCACTAACTAAATCCGAAGTTCATCATTGCTTCTGATGCAATCAAGACTGGCCTTCAATCTCGTTAAGATCTCTCTCTATGACATAACAAAAACCTCGCCTAACAAAAAAACGCCAATACAACCGATCTGTCAAAACAATTAAACATTACTGAACAATATTCAACATTAACGAGGCTTAATGATTTTCTATGTAATTTACCTATTGTTTGGGTCTATAGCATAATAATCTTTGTTGTTTTTTTGGTTAAAGTTCGTACACATAGCGAACGTGAATGTCGGTAACCATCTCAAGACATATCTAATTCTCAGTTATGTTGTGTAGCGGCTATCCCGCTCTTCAAATCATATAGCTCACAGACACAGGCCATTGAGTTTCTCTCGCCGGATCTTCTCAGTGGGTCGCGTTTCTGATCCGGCGGTAGATTCTGCGAACAACTGCCCTTGCCATGGCTGCTGTTAGCAACACTACGGTTTGAGCCCCGTAAGCTCACCTACACGTCAAGGAGAAGCTGAAATAGCCTCTCAAAGGCTATCGGCATATGTAGAAAAAAAAAAAGTATCTCAAAGTGGGTGGCGGCATTTACATTGTAGGTGTCTATGGGCTCTGGGAACCACCTAACACCAGGTGGGTTGTGAGCTCGTCCACCCATCTATGCAACAAAAAAATTATCGAGTCATAACATATTGATGTTTCGCGACAAAAATCGGCAGTGGTATCCGTGAGGGCGAACCCTACATCGCGTTATCAAGTGAACTTATCAATTAATCCAGTAATTACACGTCAATCTATCAATTTTACGGTTTTCGTTTTTATTAAACATCGTTATCGCTTCGATATCGAATCGGTTGTGTTATGCAGAAATAAAAATAAGGCGCCTATTCGCGGAGTTTGAACACTTGCATAATCTCATTTCATATGAACACAGCGAGTGTTTTTACCTTAAAATATTAACTTATTTAATATTGGATTAGATTAAGGAGACAACTGGTTGCTTTCTCGGTTTTGTTACATAAAATTAAACTATTAGATCACATTATTTAGGAAAAACATTATGATCATTTTAGATATATGATTGTCTATGTTAAATGTCATTTTACTGATCAATCATAATTTTTGTCGCTTTTATTGGTGTGTCTTTATTGTGCTAACACCATCCATTTAGTATTTTAAATACCGCCACATATACAGGAAGAGAGGATTCAGTGAGTAATCGAAAAGTGTTTACAAATACACATAAATCACAGTTCACAAACAAACACATTGGTTATTTTTAAATGCCAAAGAATATGTGGCGCATATGAGCAGACGAGCTTATGCCTTATAAGCGGTAGTCCAGACATATCACAATTTGAGTTCTCAAGCCTCAGCTTATCTTGAGACTTATGTTGGAAGCATTAATTGTCTCTGTATTGACGGTTATTCAGCACTTCAAGTTGCATGACTGCTTCACAGTAAAGATAGGCAGGGTGTGGAGTAGAGGGGAGTGGTATCGGACTCGTATGGATTCCCAACCAATTTACCTGATAATTATATTTTAAATTTATTCCGAAAATCGGATTACAGTGAATGGGAATATTTCTTGGAAGCTTCCACATTTTATGTACCCAAGAATGACGTCACTTTATTATATTATTACCTATGCTAGCTGATCACCCTAAAGTGGCAACAATTTTACAGTACTCTTAGCACGCACGGGTTTGTTTGGGCACGGGTTTGTTTGGGCACGTATTTTTTTAAGGACTCCTAGAGTTGATGTTTATTATACACAAGCTTTTGCCCGCGACTCTGTCCGCGTGTAATAGTTACTTTGGCATAACGCTAAATTTTACCCCCCACTTCATTTACGTAGAAAGTGAAAATATTTTTGAATTATAGAATGTTAAGGAAGCTATTTAAACCCCTATTTTGAAACATTATTGGTGCTCCATTTGTGTTGGTCTTACCGTGATGTTATATATAGCCTATAGCCTTCCTCAATAAATGGGTTATCTAACACTGAAAGAATTTTTCAAATCGGACCAGTAGTTCCTGAGATTAGCGCGTTCAAACAAACAAGCTCTTCCGCTTTTTAATATTAGTATAGATAAAACGTTAGAGTTACTTTGTCCTGAAGCTAGTAAAAAACCAGATACAATATATGACGTTTATCTCTGGTTATACAATGTTATGAAGTAAATACGTATTTTTCCATTCTATGTACGAGTATGTATACCGAAGAAAAAAAAACATCATCCAAGTTTAGATTGACAATTTTTACGAATGTTAGCATATCGTTAAGTTTGTTTTTTTTAACGTCGACTTACGGTTTTTACGCAAGCTAATTGGGGTAATTCCACGAATGTAAAAAGTGAAGCTTGGATTGAACGTATAAGAGAAAAATCTATGGCAGTTGTTGGCCTAAAAATAACCATTTAAAAAATCTTTGTTGCTACTTCGTCAGATAGTGATATTCAAAATCACAATGTGTCAAATAGGCCTAAACATGTGCTTACAAATCGTCATTACTCTACCTATCTTTCTTTACCTAGTGATGTCGCACGGGTAGTACCCCAATCCTGTCTATTTAGGCGGCGAAACAGTTACCCATATCAACACAAACATTATTTAATAGTTAATTCGACTTTGTCTTGAACTGGATGGTGACATTCACGTTGTCGTGGTCTCTAGACGACTAACAAAAACTTTGAAGTACCTATTTGAAACATCGGATTTAAAAAGTAGTTTTAATTATAAAACTTTATTCTAAATACAACCACTCAAGCTTAAGTTACTTTTGACGTGACAACGTCTTATAATTCGATGGTGCCGGCTGCACGCACGAAAAAACATGATTGAGGCGTTCCATTGAAGGCTTGAAGTGCAAGCGAGAGTGCGCAACGAGCGACAAAGAGGCACAATCGGCCTCCGCGTTCGGCAGCGTTCGACATCTGTCTCTCTCCTACTTGATTGAGCGATGCATCCGCGTGGACAGCTGCTAAGCAATAATACATTTACGTGTTTTCGTCAAGTATGAAGTTCAGTGAAAAGTGAATGTGGTGTCAATTGTGCATACAAAATATCTAGCAAACAAAATTAAAATTTTCTTTTGAAAAATGAAACCATTCCATCAGTATATTCTTATGACGTTGTCACGTATAACTATCGTCAGTAAACCGACTTTACAGACAGCCGATTTTTTTTCTCTATTTAAGCATTTCTGTTTAGCTGTGGAACGACAGAACGCGGTCGTACAGCTAAAGTCTTTAGCGCGATGGCTTCCGGCGCGGGATTGTTGTTCCGGTGACGCGGCAATTTGCAACCGCGACATCTTTCCTGATCTTTTTATAACTAATTTGAAACATTAAAAGCGCTTAGAACATCAATAATGATGTGTGCTAATTTTACTGGTGGTAGGACCTCTTGTGAGTCCGCGCGGCTACGTACCACCGCCCTGCCTATTTCTACCGTGAAGCAGTAATGCGTTTCGGTTTGAAGGGTAGGGCAGCCGTTGTTGATACCTTAGAATTTATATCTCAAGATGGGTGGCGCATTTACGTTGTAGATGTCTATGGGCTTCAGTAACGACTTAACACCAGGTGGGCTGTGAGCTCGTGTCCACTCATCTAAGCAATACAATTTTTTTTTAGGGAAAATACATAAAATTGCTGTAACGTTAGATAGAAACGTTCACATAGAGTTTTATGGATAATAGACAATACGACTTTTTTTTAAAAGAATTTGAATACCAGACATTATCGAGCTCGATGGTCCATTTCTCCTACGCCCCGCAGATCTGACGACCTGCCATATATACTACATACGTAGACCACTCACTGAAGAGCACATCTGAATGCTGTAATGCGTTTCGGTTTGAAGGGTGGGGTAGCCGTTGTGACAATACTGAGACCTTAGAACTATATCTCAAGGTGTGTGGCGCATTTACGTTGTAGATGTCTATGGGCTCCAGAAACCACTTAACACCAGGTGGGCTGTGAGCTCGTCCACACATCTAAGCAATAAAAAAAAAAAAAAAAAAAATGTAAAAAGCATTTGGGATATTTGATTTATTTATTTCTATATTCTATCTTGTTACTAATATACGGCTATTACGTAAAGAGATAATTTTTCATGATATTATGTTGGTATGACGTTTCTGATTATCGCGGTCCGATTATAATTTTATCATTCGAATCAGTACTGATAATAATTCGGTATGAACGATCGGAAACTTGTTTGTTTTCGTTTTTTTTTTCATGTAAAATTAAATAAACTGTCCGTTTTTAATAAAATCTAAACGTTTTTTCCACAACAGAACGTTCAGTTTCTTAAATTTATTTGTCTTTCTTTTTTTCAGTTAAATAATTCATGACGAATACTTTCACGTGTTG